GCCCCGGAGGTAATTCACACATCCCTTCCTTGCTGTAAACTCCTGTGGTCAGTAATTACGACTGCCTCTGACTTCCTCACCCTCCAGGAGTTGACCCGCTGCTGGCTAGCACCCCCTTCCCATCCATTTTTTTTCCCTTACCGGGCCCTTTCACAGTGCTGGTTTAAGCAACTGCATCTTAAGGGGATGAGGTCCTCAGAGTCTAATTGGCCTGGATGACTTTGGTTTCGTTCCTCTCTCATTTTGTTGCTCACTGTGTCCAGCCCGGGAAAGAGAGCAGGGCAAGTGATTTGTTTGCAGAAGCAAGGCTGACCCCGAGAGCAGTGGAGTTTCTGCCTATTCACCAGGTATCTAACATGTTCCAAATGCGTACCACTGACAGATGATTTATCCTACATTGGCCCATCTTGTATTTGTACATTTGAGAAGGGGCAATTCGTCTTTTATCCCCACATTTCTAGTTATCTCTAAATTTAAGCTGTATATCTGCTTATACAGAATGCCGTCTTCACTGCTTAGCATTTCAAGGTGTAATTTCTTTTAGACAGGGACATTGCCTTTGCAATGTACTCAGGTCAACCCAAGCCATGTTTGAGGGCTTCACTTTCACATCTCCTGCAGTGGGTATGTGACTGCAGAAAGATGCGCCGCGTCGAGCAGGAACATGCACACACCTCTTAGCGAGAGTGGTGCCAGGTATTGGTGCTTTATTAGTTGCCTGTAGAAAGGCAATCGGTTGTACCTCCAGACACAAGTGGCCAGGTAATTTAGAGGGAGTGCAAAGGAAAGCACTCCTGGGAAAAAGACAGGCAGGTTGGTTACCTTCTCCTCATTTATTCTTTCCATGGCTATTAACACTCTCGGCTTATAAGCAAATCAAGTCTCTCGACTTCTGTCAGGCTGTGATCTCTGGTTGGCAGTGGAGTTCAAGGGTCAAGCAACATTTTCCTTTCTTGTGCATCAAAATAAGTAGTTCAATAAGCCAAACTAGTTGGGCTAGGATGATGAAGGCAAATTTTGTTTCTGCATGAGGAATTTACGCAGTTCTCTCTTGAAATGATCACGGGGAAATACTGTTGGGTTTAATCTCTCCTAAAGCTCTGCTAAGACTCCAGTAGAACTGGAAGGAACAAAAAACTAGTAACAAGTTCATGGCACTGAATTAATAAAATAAAGCCGGAAGGAGATCTATTCTTTATGTTTAAAGTGAGCAATTTCTTATTATCCACAATCAATCTACCTTCCATTGGCACTTTTCACTGCATAGACGAGCATCTAAAAATACACAATGTGACTTCTCAGAATAGAACTGTGCTTTAATAGTCTGGAAAAAAAGATTGATTTATGGGAAAAGGTGACAAGAACAACATACTTATTGCTTAGCTGCTAAGTGGAGAGCTTTGAGAGGTGCCAACACGTATCAGAAAGCTGTAAACACCGGGGAAGAAGACATGCTATTTCTCTTGAGTTAAGAAGATATAACCAGAAGTCATGAGGCAAAGGAAAGATCATGTACGCTATAAAATAGTACTGCATGGGACATAGTGAAACACCATCTCTCGAGACACTTAAAACGAGCCTGGGCACAGCCCGAGTTGGCAGAGAATCACTTAGGACAGCTGTCTTCTGTTCGGAGGACCATAACCAAGTCCAGCTCCTAGTATCCGGGGGGATTTCTGTGGGACTCAGGCCACAGCTCCATTAGGCTTTAATGAGAGCCCCCGGCAACACATTTGCTTTTTCCACCCTCAAATAGCCACGGCTTGTGTTTTGTACCTGCTCTGGGCATCAATACATCTGACCGTGAAGCCCGCCTCTCTGCACTGTTTCCTCCCATTGCAGCAACCCCAGAACTGGTGGCAACTGCTTTTTTACACTAACACATACCTGAGGCAAGGGTGGGAATGCTTTTTTCTTTCTTGAAATTTTAGGGAAAAAAAAAAAAACAAACCAAAACCAACTTTCTGACTGCTCTGGCACTGGAAACAGTTGAAAAATACTGGTGTGTCTATTTGAAAAAACCCCTTTCAGTTCAGAGCCTTTCTGAGTGCTTTTTGAAATTGCAGTTACCTTTTCTCTCTCCTCTGCGTCGTAGTTGTCCGGAAAGACAGGTTTATTCTGATTTTCCTCATTGATTTCTCTCTCCTCCAAATAAAACTGCCACTTGGCTTCAAAGTAAAACCAGTGCTCCTGATATTCTGCACGCAAAAGAAATTAATGATGTGGTATTTCATCTTGGCAACATTTTCGGTTCTACTTAAATACATTTTAAGGAAGGATGACAGTATTGACTGACCTGAAGAACTGGGTATTTTACAGTAATATACATTAAACAGGCGTGTGTATTAAGCATGCATTTTAATATGAAGTGGGACATCTAACTGGGAACAGAATATGTGAAAGAAGAAAATATTTTCAGCATCTTGTGCTATTTTTATGATATACTAAAATTACATTAAGATACATCAAGATGAGATTTTTAGAGAACTTTCTAAGGAACACTCCAAGGAAGAGATAAGAGTCAATGAAAAGAGAGGGAAAAAATCAATTCTATGCCAATTTTTGTATTACTTTACTATCATTAAAGAATATCTAAAAATGCCTACATAACCTAAATACAAATTTCCTCCTACCTCAGTTATTGTTCTTAATCACATAATTTCTCCAGTATTTCTGTTCTGCTTGCTCTCACAGTATTTCTGTGTGATCTTTCAGGAAAAGGCAGATACGAAAGGCCAAAATTTTCATTTGCATGTATTATAATACATATAAAATGTAGCAAAAGGGATAAATAACACACACATCTGCTGTCTGTGCCCATACAAATAAGCCTTTTTTAATAACCACAGGTTTTTCTCCTTTTTCTGTCACTTTAGGAAGAGCATCTCTAATCACGTTTAACTTTGCGCATGTAAATAAACTTACTAAATTCAGTTTATCTTCAAGCCAATGTTTCAGTTCAACCTCTTTGTAAGGGCTTAAAAAGGCACGTAAGTCACCCTGACCTGTTAAGCACATACACACACAGCCGTCCGCAGAACCGAGGCCTGAGTGAGACCCTGCCTGGGAAGCCGATGGGATAAGGAATTAGAAGTTGGTGAGATGGACCAGATGGCTAAGTAGACCAAGGCAAACTAGCAGTGCAATATGGGACTATGGGCATACAGTTTAAACTAAAATTAAGCGTTGCTGGTTTTCCCTGGCTCTGTCCTGCTTGGCTGCTCAGCTGTGAGCTGCAAGTGGCTGAGGAGCGTGCATAAAACCAAACCATTTCTCTGAAGGACGTAATCTGATCTTGCTTCTTTTCCTAAAATGCTGTACAGGTAACCATCTTTGGCAATTAAGATCTTTAAAGCGGTTCAACTCCGTGTAAGAAAATCCAAGCTGCCCTGTAGGACATGATACTTTCACAGGGTTGTCAGTTCCCCAGCCCCACACAGGGGTGAGCCTTCAACCGCGTGGCCCTACAGGGGCCTGGGAATGCCCAGCTGCCCTTTTTCTGAGTCCACGCCCCAGTTTTGCCTGATTAGAAGCCATTCATTAGAACCCTAAAAAAGGAGGCTCTTTGGAAAAAAATGGGTGAAAATGCACTCACAGCCATCAGCCCAAGGAGAACATCTGTCGGGAAAAAAAGGTCACACAAAGGAAATATTGTTGGTTGAAGTAAATGACCGACACCCACTCCATTAGCTGGTTACAAGATGGCTTTTAGAAGTACAGGTGGCCTGACAGGTCTTTTTGTGGTTTTTGTCCTATTTCTCTCATGACCATAAAACACGAAGGCCTCAAAAAGGAACGGTTTCTATGCAGCACCTCAACAAGCAAGGAAGTGTGATTATTCCGACGCACAGCCCCAGAAACAAAGGGATCAAGCAGTTGCAGGAGATTTTTGTTGCGTGGACGACCTCTAGCATGGCCAGAAATCCCACACCGCCAGCCCTCGCCAAGGCTGTGCCCCCATCCCTTGAGCCCAGCCTGAGATGACGGTCACATTCAGGTCCATGGATCTACCTGGCAAGTGTATCAGAGAGGGGTGCTGAGTCGAGCACTGTGCGACTGAACGCTGTGTTTGTTATCCACGGGGGACAACGCAACTAAAAAAGAGTTTTCTAAAACTGGAGGACTCTGGCAGGATTTCTTTGCAGTGCATCTCACCAGCCAAGAAGCTTAACTTTAATGCAGGAGACTTTTCCCGCTACCAAAATAGGACGAAGCTCAACAATACGGAGACTAGACGGAGAGCGTGCCTCAGGAGTCCAACACGCATACCTTCACGCCGAGAGGTCCTGCTGGGGTGGAGTGACAGGGACCTGCTGCGAAGCCACCCAGAGAGGAGCTCGCTCACACTAATCCTGCACCTGCTCCTCATAGGTCTTGGCTAAAAAAATCCTGGTGCGCAATGAGGCGCAGATGAAAATGTGGGGTCTTTCAGAAAGGCTCCCTGGGGCTCCTTTCTGATTTTAAAGCAGCAGTTTTCCTTCCAGGGTAAATCTTCATTTCTGAGTGCTCCTGTGTAAAGACTTCAATTGAATTCAATCTTTCTCAACAGCCATCCCTTGAGATGAACAGTAAAAACTCTTTCCTCGATGTTTTAATGTAATGATACTCGTCTGCCCATGGCAGGTCTCACCATTACAAATGCATCACTCCCTGGCAAGAGGGGACTAAAATGCCTTTGCCCTGAAGATCACATACATTACTAAAGTAGCAATATCAAGTTCAGTAGTTGCATTACGCTCAGTTCTTTTAAAACAAGGATACAACAGGTTGTGCCTTAAATATTTGTTCAGAAAAGCAACAAGTCAAGTCTGAATTTGGCATGAAAAACTAACTCTTGGTCAGGAGGCATCTTCAGTTGAACTTTTCCTTGCAAAATGAGGAATGTCAGTGGGTTTTCTTACGGAAAATATTGCTAATTGTGCTAATTGATGGAAGGGAGCTGAATAATTCATATCTCAGCAGTCAGTTTGCCTAATAACCTGCTAAATATTATTTCCTGCCTCCCCCCTGCCCAGCAGTCTTTGAAGACTTTCTAAAAATAAAACTGTGCAGTAGAGCATTGTCATTGCTATTTCTCTTTGCATTTTTGCCACCAATATACCAGGCAACTAATGGATGGTAGAAGGTGGCACCACCTGCGAAGAGCTTACAGACTGAGCAGAGAAAGCAGGAGGACAGCCTGTGGAGACAGGAGAGGGGGGAAGCACCAAAATGGAGAGACTGGGGAGTCTTTGCTGTCTTTCTAGCTGAACATTGTTTTAAGAAAACAACTCTCTTGATTCAGACACACTACCTGCCATGTGGCGAATGGTCTTCTTGCAGTATTCTTCAGCCATCGGCACAACCTTCATCATCTCTCTTCCCCACTGTGCGAGGGGTTTCCCTTGTATTGCATATGCCACAAAGAGAGCTGTGCATAGGGACCCTAGAAAGCCTGGAATTCATAGATAACAATGGTTACCAACGTGGTCTGTGGTCTTACCATCCTTGTCGTGTCCTCTGTAAAATCACTAGTGGAATGCCTCGTGGACGTTGGGTAGATAAACGAATGCACGTAACCTATCTCCGCCTGTTTGCAGGCTGGCTCGTGGCACATTGAGATTCTTGCTAATGTGTGGTGCCCATTGGTTTACAACTTATTTTACACAGAAGGGAGCTTCTGTTCGCAGTGGTATAACATGACGGAAGTTGAGGTGGGGGTCAAAAATAAACATCAGCCACTAATGTGATACTGAAAATCTTCTAATTGAAGTTACATGACATAAGTGACTTGCGCAAAGTGATTTGATTACAAGCTACATCACCTTGCTTAGACAGTCGTCCAGCTCAAGGGCTGTGGTTGTTAGATCTGACATTATTTCTGGCTCATTTTACCCTAAGGAGTCAAGTCCATGTCTTACTTGGACAATTGCTTCTTTCCTCTAAGGAGGAAAGGGGAGGACTTGTCCCCTTAGAGGAAAGAAGCAATTGTCCAAGTAGGACATGCTGTCTGCCTGCCTAGCTAGGTCTTCCACTTTGGATATGAATATACTCAAGATGAACTTTCGTTAACGGGCACTCAACACTTCCATGACATCAGAAACAGAGGGGCTTGTTTCTCATATTTGCTCGTGCTCTTGGCGTTCTGTCAAATGCAACAAAACCAACCCAGTCCAACATGCAACTGAAGGTTAAGAAAACAACTCAGTCATTTGAATAAGCCCCAGGTGTGCAAAGTATCAATGTGTGTGCTTCTCTCTGTGCGTGGGTCCAAAAGCATCCACTCATGCATAGAGGTAGGCATGAACTTTGTGTGTTTTGCTGAAGGGAAAACCAAATTATTTTAGGAGGTTACAAGTCCAGATGAGATGATTATGCATTCTCTCTGCCGTAAGTCCTGTAATACTGGGTCAGGCCAAAGGCATGCCTAATCCAGGATCCAATTAGATGCTTTCCGAAAGAATTAAAAAACAGATAGAGCCATCTCAAAGGACCTCACTCAGATAAACAGCATCTAACCCAGCTGCCATAAAGATCCTTGAGTGTCTCAGTTCAGCGTGAGGGTGGCAGTGGAGGGTTTAGAGGGTGAAGCAAAGGGCTAGCAGGGGGCAGCAGGACAAGGCAGTGCAGAGGGTGGCAGAGGCTGGAGTGTGCCCAGAACGTTTTTGGGGGGCTGGCAGTCTCTTCATGCCCTCTCCCCAGGTAGTCCTCTCCCCTTGCTGCTATTGTCCTGCTCCCCCTACCCCCAGCAGCCCTCACATAGCCTGCTGCCCCTCACCGGGGAAGAGAGCAAGCCCCAGCTAGGGCTTCTGGCTCTGCAAATAATGCCAGTACAGAGGGAGCCTAACTGGTTTGGCCTCTCCACTCCCCAGAGCTCCTACGCTAGCTTAGGGACAACTTTAATTACACAACTCAATTGCTTTTAACAGCGACAGCCCTTCTCACCCGCTTGCCCGATCCCTTTTGCACCCGGGCGTATCTGTGGACTTTGCAGCTGCCTGTAGCAGCAAGGTCTGTGGCTTAACTGTGCATGACACGGGGAAGTATTTCCTTTGCCTGTTTGTTTTGGTCCTGCCTGCCATGTCAGTTGGGTTTTCTCAGTCTTTGAGTTATGAGAATCACAGATGACATTTCTCTGGCACCTTTTAGGATGGCAGTGAGGTCCATGGTGGCCCTTCCACCCCTCTCCTCCCCGCCTCCCCATGTCCCTCTTGTCTCTTTTCCCAGCTGAAAACTCCTTCTGGATATAATTTCTCCTCATATGGAAGGTGTTTGACAACTTGGATGCTCCTTGCTGCCATTTTCTGGTCCTTTCTGAGGTGGGAGACCCAGACTGCACGCAGTCTTACTTCTGCTAATGCACCATGGACTTTCTATATTGGCTTAATGATATTTTCTGCTTTGCTTTGAATCCTTTTCCTCTCATTTTATGCCATCCTGATGGCTTTTCTGACTGCTTCAGAGCACTGAGCGTGTTGAACATGTCACCATTCACTATGGTTTTATTTACTGCTGTTTAAAGAAGACAAAATTAATACATGTTTATGTAGCATAAAATTATTGGAATGACAGACCTGAATATTCAAAACAACATTAAACCTACTTATTTATGTTTTGCTTAGAGAATGTTTCAGATTGTGCCCTATGATATGTGGAGTTAGATTTTTTTGGCTTTCTACCGTTATCTGCAGTGATTGGATATGACAAAACCTGTCGAGAGAAAAATGTTGTTATCCCCTGAACCATAAATTTGCATGATAACAGTGAGTCATCTAGATGTACATAAATCCTAAAATTTGATCAGGGCAAGTGACATGAATATGCTTTGGACAGGACAGGCTGTGTTTAGTTATTGGGATTTTAGGAGGGAAAACGCCTACGCCTGAGGTTGCTGTCTGCATAACAAATATATAAACATCATATATATATGATATATATATGCAAATATATAAGCCTATACAAGTAATATAGACATGTGTATATTCTCCAAGCAAAATTCAAACTGAGGCCTTGGAGTCTGCAAAGCAGAAGCAGTTTCAGCGGGTGAATTCACAGGAGCCACGTTAGTCCCTGCCGAACCGAAAAGCATCCTTAGGGACTTGAGCGCGCCCATACGTCAGCGGACATTACCTGTGGGGTGGTTATGAGTCATTCGTCCACATTCAATGCTCACTTCAATAAGGGACTCCAGCCTCTCCGGCTTCCAGTATCTCATCCCTAAGCACATGGCTTTTGTGGATGCTCCAAACCCAGAACCTAAAGTAAAAACACAGTGCCAAGCGTTTAGAAGGAAACTAATGATACACAAACATGTTGATAAACCTGAAACAAGCACGTTTTGTTAAGTCAGCTCACATGTGGGAACTCCTTGGGGAACGGGAAATTAGCATGCAAAGCGAGCTACAAGTTTTGGAAGTTTCTTGCGAGAAGTTTTGCTGCTCCACAGTCATTCTGGTTTGAAAGGTATACTCCAATACTCTCAAGCGCTACGAAGAGCACAGTGGGTTCGGAAAGCAGTGTGCTCCCTTGTTCACCGTACTTGGTGGATTCAAACTCTCATGCCATCTTTACTCATTCTTGGCCGACACCTCCATTTTGCTTGCTCCAGGTGTCGGCACTAGAAACACAAGTTTGAGAAACAGATGCACTTTTACTACACCCATATTTTAGCAGCCTTCATGCTGAAAGGGCACAATTAAAACACTTTATATGAGCATCACAGCTGATCTTACAATTTCAATGCATGTTTCATCCCAGAGAGCCCCACAGGTAGTTCACAAAATAGTTTCTGCTACCTGCAAAAATAACGTCTCCAAAAAGAAACTAAAGGCCACGGAGCCATGTTAGGCAACGTCAGAACTGAGGTTTCCCATGCGACCCGAAGTCGGTGCTTGTGTGCACACTCATTATGGTACAGCCTGAGCTTCCTGAGCTTGGTCTTGGGAATTTCTGCCTCGTGCAGCACGGAGTTAATTTATTTAATAGCTAATTCAGTATTTCTCTTAATCCTCAGCACCGAGTGCATGATCAAGTTCAACTTTTAAACACTTCGTTGAATGGAGAGTTACATTTACTAATGAGTTGCTCCGCAGTACTTGTCACAGTAATATCAGGATGCCACAGAAGTTTTTATGAGCTTATCTTCACAAGGCACCAGCGAGGTGATTATCTCCTCTTTGCAGCTGGTGAGCCAATGCCCAAAACCCATTAACTCATTGCAGGCACCTGCCCTGAGATGGATAGTGTTGGATTTTTCAAAGTACTTGGCATTTTTCAGCCCTGTCTTTGCTCAATCACACTTCCCAGTGACCTTGGGTATAATTGAGAGCAGTCAGCATTTCTCTACTTGGTCCCTGGACGATAAGGGGAGTACTTATGCCAACTAATTTTAGTATCTGTGGAACCTGCAATAGGAGCACAGTCCTCCTGCCTTTCCCAGACAGGCAGCATGGAGAAAAGCCGTATCTCCATTAGCTGGTACGATGGCGTAGCGGGAGCAATTCATGGGCCAGAGTGAATTGACGCAGCAGATGCCAAGGAGCCAGAGTCGGGGCTTTTGGTCACCTACCTGTAGAGGACCCCTCAGCTGCTCCCCTGGGCTGTGCCCGCTGTGGCTGTAGAGCACCAGGAGCTCTCCTGGAGCACTGCTTGCTGTTTAGTGTCATCCCAAGCGACTTCAGCTCAGGTGTCCTAGGATCATGAGTGTGGTCAAAGTGTGGTAGGGGGGATGGCGGGAAGATTTGCTTCATAAGTGCTTGCCTGAGCCAGAGGGTAACACTAACAAGGCACCCATTGGCATCTGCAGGTGCAGTACAGACCAACCTGAATTTCAATCTCTCTCGAAGAGCTCTTCTTCTTCCCGGAGAGCAGCTAGCCTCAGTGATAACCCTGGTTAGATGATCTAATTAGTTAGCTGAAGACATTTCTTCCCTTCCTCCCCCGAGTCCAGTGTGCAAATTTTGCATGCAATAACTCTTTCAGTGGGTTTAACCACCAAGGGCAGTCTAAAAAAAGCCAAACATCTGATAAATGTGACATGAAAGGCTTTGCAAAATACCCTTTTATTCCTTGCAAGCTCAGGGCTGGCTTCCTCCTTGCTAGCCTTCTTAATATTAGTGAAAGAGACCTTCTCCAGGACACCTTTGGCCACTGCTCCTCATGGAAAGGACAGACACTTGTCCTGAAAATGGTGTGTTTGCTCCTGTACCTCATATATGCTGCAGCGGTAGTGCCTGGTTATTAAGGAGCCAGGAGCAGATAAAACTGTCTGTCTATCCCACAAATCATATAGAAACCAGAAGGAAGATTCAGGAAAAAATCCAGTCTTCCAGAGCACCAGTCAGCTTAACTGGGAGAACATATCTTCTGCTTGCAAGACCAAACTCTTCATTAAACCATCTGCTGCTCTATGGCAGAGTCGTCTTCACTATGCAGTCCTGGTTCCTCCAAAGGACACAATCCATTCTGGTTATCCAAGAGGGAAGGGTGCTGTGCTGCACAGAGCTGCTAACTAAATAACATCTTTTGGTACAGCCAAAGTGGAGGATGCGCTACAGTAATCTGACTGCTGGTCTGAAGGTGCTTGTCTTTGCAACTTCACTGGGTTCCCCCGGTCTAGGAAGTGATATTAAAACCTGGAGAATTAAATGAGCAAATTTGGTAACAAAAAATTCCACTGCATGGAGTACCATTAAGCCTAGACAGGGCTTCATTCAGGTGATTAGCAGCTGTTAGCTCCCATGTCTCAGTGTCTTCCATTTGAATCAATGAAGTAAAGGACAGCGAGACTACTCCAAGAAAGGAGTGAGACACGTGCGTGAGAACACAGATTGAAGGTTGACCTGACTTATCACGGCTGACAGTGGCCAATGGAGAGGATACTTAAGAAAGAGTAAAAAAAAAGTACAGTGACGCTACCCCTTTGTGCTAATGAAGCTGCTGACAAGCGTCCCCCTGATCCAGGAGGCAGCTGGCTATGCGCCTTTCTGCTTAATAACCCTTGAAGGGTTTTCCTTAGGTGAATTTGCCCAGCTATTTTTCTGAACCCACATGAACTGTAGCATCTGCAAATCAGCATGGGAAAATAGTCATGCAGCTTCATTAGGTGTTGTGTGAAGAAGTCCTCCTTTTTGCTTGCTTTGAACTCGTGACCTGCCCATTTCATCTGAAGTCCCTAGTTCCTGTGCTGGAGGAGACAGCAAGTTTTCTCTGTCCCTATTCATGTTCTCCGAGCTATCTATGACTTTACAGCTCTCTATCGTACGGTCTCAGACATCACAGCCTGTGGAAGCAGTTTTTTACTAATCCAACCATCCTTCCTCATACCCTTTCTAGATCTCTTACATCCTTTTGGGGGGAGGCACCAGATTATATACAGTAATCGAGAAACAGCAGCTATGACGTTATGCATTGGTGCAAACATGTTTTGTGTTTTGTTCTCTGTCGCCTTCCCCGTCATTTCTAATAGTCTATTTGCTTTCTGGCTCTTACTGAGCACTGAAGCAACATTCTTTTGAACTATTACAGCTCCACCATTCCTTCCCTGAATGGTAACTGAATCAGCAATTGCAACTATGTATATAAAATTAGGAGTCTGTTTCCCCACCACCACCACCACCACCTCCCTGCATATGACACTTAATTTATGTCCATTGCATCTGGTTCTGCTACCGTGCCACACAGTTATTCATCACTGTGAGCATCTGCCACAACTCTGCACCATGTTATCTTGGACTTTGCTGACCCACGATGCACTTGCATTTCCAGACAGTTTGCAGACTTGTTGAACAACAGAGGTCCAATGCAGGTACCTCCCTCTCCATGGAGAAGACAGACTGCAACTTCCTGCTCTTCATTTCCTGTCTTTTAATCAGTTGTTCATCCTCAGGAGAACTTTTCTGTCACCCTGTAGCAACTTAGTGCCTCATCACTTAGTGCCTTTGGTGAGGGACCTTGTTCAGAGTCTTTTGGAAATCCTAAGAGACCATCTTCACAGTGTCTCCTCTCTCCTCCTGTTTCTTGGCTAGTTCATGAGCTTTCTAATAGAATTCTGAGGTGTGCCTTCTTGTCACAAAAGCTGTGTTGACACTTTCTTATTACATAATTTTCATCCATGCACTACATTGTCTCTTTTAGTATGCAATACCTTAATGTGCTTTTCTTCGCTCTACATCTGAAGAATAACAAACACCAGTTTAAAGGCTGTGAAGCCCTGAAGAGGATGTGTCTGTTGTGACTACTGACCATTCTGCATGAGAACTTAGAGCCTGGCCCCTTTATCACCTGTCCGTCTCTGGCATATCCTTCTCTTCATTTTTGCTGCCCAACTTTCTACATTTACCACACACTTTTCCCTCATGCTCCTCTACCAATGTCACCAGCAAAAAGGCACTGGTCTCCAGTGCTACTAGGAAGCCCAGGAGCTGCTCCAGTAGCTGCAGGTAAAGATCTACTTGGATGCTGCAGCCTCAGCCTGAAATACAACGCAGTACAGGTAGAACCAAACTGCCATTTGACCGGCCTTTCGCAGTGGCTCCGAAGGCACATCTCCAGCTCAAGGGGTACCGCCTTACTCAGATTTTGGTTTCAGCTCTCAAACATCAGCGGTTCTCTTCTGAACAATCTGAATTTTTACTATGTCTCAAAACAGCAGACCCATCTGCATCAAAACTTTAAACAAAAGCTGACAGACAAAGAGAGGCAAACACTCAATGGTGAAAATTTTAGCCTCAAGTGAAGGTGTTAGACAGCCTTGGGCAGGTTTTCTGGAGGTCACAGGAATTTCACCAGCCTTTAACATAATCTGGGCGCCTCTGCAGTGAGTGTGGCAACGAGCATGGCGTGAGGTGGCAAAGAGACACGCAGGGCAGTTTTGACTTCAAAACTCAGTGCTCTGACTGCAGCCATGAGAATTTGAGCAGAGGAGCATCATACAAGCAATGCAAAATTACCTAAGCTAGGATTTGACTGGTTCATGAAGGCTGGCACATGAATTCTTGCCAGAAGTGAGATAAGATCGAATGACCACAGGAAAACAGCAATTTGGTTCCAGCTCATCTAAGATATCATCTGACTGCTAGGCATTCAATGTTCGTGGAATGTTTTTGCCTCAAGAAGAAATTTGTGAAAATTCAGTTAAAAAATTAGTTATGTCCATAGCAGTGCCAGGTCCCACAGTAGGCTGAACATTTCCACCTCAGGTCACTGTTTCTTTTGCTCTCACGCTGAAGAAAAGGCTTATTGAGATGTTCAGGGTGATATTAGTCAGATCAGATGGAGAAGGTGGGCTTTAACTGCCAGGTCTCAAGGCAGGAATTCATTTTAGATTCTTTGAGCCCAGAGTATCCCAAAAGCAGATCATGAAAAGCTGGAGAGGAGAAAGGCTGAAAGAGCAGATGTAGCTCCAACACAGGGAGCACGGCCAGGGAACAGCTGTGCTACACTGCTGGAGGTGTTGAGAGCTCCTCAGGGCCAGCAGCAGCTCCCACAATTATTTTGACCTCCCTGTCCGTCAGAAAACATATGGCAAGTGCCAAAGGGGCACTTACTCAGATCTGCCTGGCTAATAGCGGGGTGGGCAGAATACACAGGGAAAGGATCCTTTTCCCTCCCAGCAGCTGTTGTGAGGAGCAGAAGCCGAGCGAGGGATGCTTTTTTTGTCAGACAAAACTGACTGCAGAGACCCAGAAATAGCCATGGCGTTGTGCCACCGGGTCTCTGCCATGGTATTGCATCAATACACAGTGGTGTTGACTGGTGCCGATACGTACTGCAGTGACCGAGCATCACACCAACACAGCACAACGCCTGTGTGAGCTGCCATCCCCTTGGCTGTCCAGGTCTACCCCCTCCAATGATGTGGTGCCTCTACAGTCTTTCCAGATTAATTGCACTGAATGGATATTGGTATGAGTATACGCGTATGTGTGTGCACATAGCTGCATGCATGCTCTTTAACGTGAAGCGGCAATTCAATTCATCACGAAATTAAATTACCATACAGAGAAAGAAAGAGAGGGTCATGGGTAGGGAAACGGGGCTAGGGATATTAGGGATTATCAGCAAGACAGTCATAGCTGTTAGCAGGGCATCCACCTCGAGAAAAGTCTCTGCATGCCCTCCAGTGAACACATTGGTGCATAGAGCATTTCACAGGCTCGGCTTTTTGTTTCAGATCTGCCAACACCGAAAAGATCCAGGGCTACAAACATTTAAATGAAAAAACACAGAAAATATTTCTTAAAATAACCATTAAAGTCAAGGACAAAGATCCGGACCTAGAGGCACAGAGCCAAGGACAAAGTCTCTTTAAATAGATGTTAAAGAGGGAAGGGTTCATTTACGAGAGGACATAGTGCCCTACAGAAGGAATTCCTGGCAGATCTCTTACTATCCTCAGGCAAACATGGAAACGTTTCAGGGGTGGTAGCCTTTGATGTCGGGGGGAAAAAAGAAACAATTTCCATATAGCCACAAACGCTGAAAGCAGGCATTATTCAAGCCAGGATCTATAAATGGAGAGTGGTACCGTACCCTTTTCATTGAATGGTGTGTGCCAGGCGAGAAGGTAGTTGTCTGGTTTCAATTCCCTGCAGCCTTCGATGGTGGCGGGGTCTGGCCGCCTCCCCGAGAGCTTGTCGATAGCATCAACGTAGCGTTTTACCAGCTCCCTGTACAGGTCTTCTAAACACCAGTAATCTGCTCAGGGGAGGGAAGAGAAGGTTGCTACGTGAAGGCAGAAAGAAGGGCAAGACAGCACTGAAAAAAGCCCAGGCAAGCTCACTGTGCATTTAAGAAATGTTCCTATTTCCACTTCCAATACACCCAGTCATGTTTCTGGTGCCACTGTCAACACATTTTTACACGCCGTGAGAGCGGGCTGCAGGGCAAACAGCCTTGTCTCTCTGTTCTCATCTTTTCCCGCTTTCCTTTCCACTTCTCATTCCTTCAGTCAGAAAGATGAAGGCATTCTGTTCATCCACAGTAGCTTTATTTAGGATCCATGGTGTAAGGTGAGTGTATTGTCGTTGCGGGGACTGGGTGTGCGCGTGAAGCCAGCTGTGCCTGGCTCAGCCCCCGCTGTTCACATCATTTGCACACACGAATTCAGTTTGAAAATGAAAGCCTATTTTTTGTTTTAAATTACCACTGACTTATTTTAAAGAGGTAGGTATGATTAAACACAAAAGCAAATTAGTGACCTTATTTTTTTTAACCTGTATTTTATATTTATTTTGTCTAAAATATGTAGGTCTTTCATGCAGGGATCCCTGTCTGATGCCAGTATAGTAACCAGAACAGCTCTTATAAAAAATTATTATAAAGATCAGTACGAATAGTAAATCCCTGCAGTCTGTAGTATTTCCAGCAGATAAACGGCTTTCTGGAATAAGTTCACTAGCAATATCTGTTTACTGATCATTTTTACGAAGGCCTACTGTCTTGCCTAGGGAGGAACGCTTCTCTTGGCCGCTGCTGTGTGGCGTTGGGCTTGAAGAGCCCTGCCCTCGGCTCTTGCCAAGGAAAAGCTTCCACCAGCATCTATTACACTTGCGTAATCAGTGGGAACTGAGGAGGCTGTTGGGATTTGTCCATTTATATCTTTTCTATGTACTTCAAGAAACTCCATTTAACACTTGGTTTGACTCACAGATCGAATGACACAGCAGGGGAAGTTCTAAAAATACCTTCATTTTGTCAAAGATTGGTGATTTCTTGATTTAAGAGAAAGTTTGGAGTCCTGTAAGCCAGAGTCACTTGAAAGTACCAGTTAGGCAGACAGGCGAACAAGGAAGATGCAGGGTAAAACTGAGATTCCCCTCCTTTCACATTAAAAAAGTACCCTATCCATTACGCTGGTCACCCCGCATACAATCCTAGAGGAACAAGATACTTTCAAGATGCCGACGCTTTCCAGATATAGGAATCAGGTGTCAGTTTATCCGGATGGGAGCCAGGAGCAGGATTTACCACCTGGCAGCTTCTGTGGAAGCCTTGTCCCCAGAGCCAGAGTCCCTGTGGTCCAGCAGCTCCATGCTGCCCTGAGCCCACCACGGTTCCCACACCTGAAACCAGGCTGCTGCCTCAGCCCTCAAGTCAATAGGACAGCTTCTTTCCTTAGACATGAACCCTTATTTTTTTTAAACCCTTTTTCAAGTCAGAGAGGAAAAGGCTGTACTCATTGCAGGGGCAGCTCCCCTGCTTTTGCTGATGCTGTTTGCTTCCCTCCCTTATGGGACAGGTTCCTACTGGAAGTAGACGTTTTGTTTATCCCCCTGATTGTGGGATCAAACTTTCAGTCCGTGCACATAGTGGATTTGGGGAGTGCCAGCTCAGTCTGCAGCAGTGCCCGCAGCCCCCTCTGCTTTTGACCATGGCCCGCCTGAGATTTCGTCCACGCAGCCGGCAAACTGTTGGCCAAAATCACCTCCTTGGGTGAGAGTTGCCTTCATCAGCAGTGCAAACCTCCACCTCACGCTTGGCTGCTGCTGCAGCCTTGGGCTGGGAGCTCCCCTGGGGGCAGAGCCCCAGCGACGGGACTTCATGGCGAGCCTAAGCCCTGGGCACGTCCAACCCTGCCTGCAAGCATCCTGCAGGTACCTGGAGGTCCGCACCCAGGGGATGCTGCCTGTGGCTGGGGGGCAGCCGGCCAGGTGAAGGGGATGGGTGGGGAGTGGGGCAGTGAGGAACAGGAATATTCTTATTGCTTATCCCCCTCTTTTTTTCTTTTTTGGGGGGGGGATGGTGATGTTCCAGTCACCCAATATATTCTTTAAAACCTCAGTCTATGCAGCAGCGAGGGCTCCCCGCTGCATGAGAAAGGCAGGTTTCGGGGGCCAGTGGCAGCTGACTTCAGCCTCATGGACCCATGTTCACCTTTAGCTTCACTCTGTTGACTTGGGCGATTTGCATGAGGGCTGGGCCATGACCAAGCCCAGCGGCTTTTTTGTGTTCCCCTTGCCAGGAGGAGACACTGCTGTGGGCAGGAATGGCTCTGTTTCCCTTGCGGGAAGCAAAGAGAAGGACTCGCTTTCCCCTGCTCACCAACGTTGCTGTAAAATGAAGATTTCTTACTAAAATTCCCCACAGCAGCTTGTTGCTTTCTCACCAGCCCATAAAAGCACCTTTTTAAAAAGCTTGTCTGATCAGGCCAAAGAAATGAGAGTGCAGGATAAAACACAGCTGATGGGAATTATAGCTGAAACTTTTTTTCTTTAGAGTCACAGTGCTCCTGCTATATTTAAGAAATAAGATTTATTATTTTACTGTTAGTTGAATTGGCTTGATTACCCAGAAGTTATGGTTTTTAGAGAGTTCAATAAGCAAGAAACATACAGTATGTATTTAATCATAGCCTATATTCAGAAATATGTTAGTCATCTGTTTTCTTTATAGGCTGACATCTTGCCCTTATCTTTAGTGTATTAGCTACCCCTTAAACCATTGGTTAGCTAATAGCCAAGCATGAAGTGCCCAACACACTCTTCAACTGATCCCTATGTACTAAATTTAGAGCAGATTGGAAGCAGGCAGATAAAGCGGTGAAACAGAAGCACAAGGGAAATTTCATTGACGTGAAGGATACTGAGCTACACCGTGAGCTTCTGCTACTGTTTTTTTATCCAGTGTTACGCGTGCTGAGAAAAATCAGGAATATTTTTACAGAGATTAAAAAATTTGATTCATTCTGAAGAGGCAAAATATTCCTGAATGGTCTTTGTCTTCTGGCGTACTTTTGATGATGATCTTGACAGTCTCAGAAAGCTCTAGTTCAGTGGGTAAAGTGTCGATATAAATATCATCACATCTTACAAAAGACTATTCCTAACTTAAGAAAAACCAAATTTTCTCCCTCAAACTCTTGTGATTTTAGAAGACATGTGTTAATCACTTCCCCTATTCTCATAGACTTTGTTACAAACACAGTACATTAGAATATTTTTTGGACTAAAGGCATGGAGCTCTCCTTAGAAAGCAAATTGTTCCATTTCTGGCCTTGCAGGTGCAACCCCTTTTGCCCGAGGGGTAGCAAAGAGGAGGCAGCGCTAGTGATTTTAGCCTGAAAGAGGTATTAAGGTGATGCTACTCCAGCCTGGAGTTCTGGACACAAACATGTTAAAAATGCACTTAGAAGAGCTCTTATCTTTTACAGAAGAATTTCTAGTGGCTATATTATTCCCTGACGTATTCCAGCATACAGATAATCTACTGGGGAATTATTTTTGTTATGCTGGACATGTGGTATTTTAGTCTTTAAGCCATAACCGACTGTATAAGCCTAGGGAAAACATAGGGAGAGCCCCTCGACCCTCAAGAAATCAAAACTCCCCAGTCCGTGTGATGGTCGCAAGATTATGCTCACGGAGGAGACGAGCTAAATGAACGTTATCATTCACATAAGAAGCGTTTCTGACACGCTTTCTCATGACTTCCCCGGCACTCGGGCTTATTCTAAGAAATGCAGCAGCTCGACGGTTTTGTTCCTTTCCAGACTGCGTTCGCTAGTCCCGCCGTACCTACCTGTGATGACAGCCTCTGCTGTAGCCATGTGCATGAGCGTGTTGTCACTTACTGGCCACTTGTCGGGAGAGAGCACCAGGTTCTCCAGCCCTCCAATTTCCTTCAGCTCCTGCTGGATTTTTGCACCCAGGGCATTGTTTTCTCGGGAGAAATTGCGGTAACCGAGAGCATCCCCTACCCCAGCCAGCACAAGCGCAGCCTTAAATTTATCCATCCCCGAGACACTTTCCGCTTTCCTTTCGTCCCGGACAGCTGCCGAATCTTGATCTTCCTTTGTTCCTTTGCCTTCAGCTCAGCTGCCCCGACACTTTATATCAGCCATTGTGTCACACCGAGAGCGCTCTCTATAAGGCAAGGACCTCCTTTTCTGGCTCTGCAGATGCCAGCTCTTGTCCGGGACCTGACAGAGAGGAAATATTTCATAACCTAGGGATTTTGCAGGGGCTTCCTTCCATGAAACTGCAAGAGCGGACTGGCAAAGCGAAGCGCAAAAGCCTCGTTTCTGCAGCCCAGCCTAAAGCCAGGAAATCCTTAGCCCTACCCAGCCTAAGTAACTCTACACCCAGAAAAACAGATGCCTCCACAGGGGTGTTTATTTATTTAATAACTTGTAAATTAATATATTTTCCTGCCCTTTTCTGATATGCTGGAGTCAACCTCCCTTTCAGGGACCGGTCAGAAGGAAAGCCTGCGATAAAAGGAGTTTCCAAACTCTGTGAACACTGGAATGAGGGGTTAAGCAGTAAGAAATCTAGTCAAACGCAGGCAACCTCTCCCATTCCTAATTATGCCCTATGGCAATATTTTGTCAACAGCTTTCTTGCTCTGTTCCACCTATTACAAGAATGTTTTGCTCAGTGTTTATCCAGTGAGCAGAACATCTTCAATCCTGCGCCTCTTATTCCCTGGCAAAGACTGACTTTTTCCTAAGGCCAAGCTCAGGTGCAGCCCACATTGGAACTCTGGAAGGAAACTATTTTGAAAGATGCTTTTAAATGGCATCCTGTGAATCTAAGAAAGTTCACATATGAAGAAGTCTCATTTAATAAGAACAGAGCTTTATTAATACCATCATTTCAAACTTGAGACTTGTGCAATTATGTGCTTCATTCTGTCACTGCAGTTTTTTCTGTGCTTCTGCCATGCAGTGCAAGAAGAGGCTTTGCAGCTTTTTAAACACATTTTGCCCACAAACACATCTTCATGTTGGCTCAACATCTTCCTTCAAGGGGTCTGCTGAGACTGACTCAGATCGTGGTTCTGAGTCACCATGCTGTCCTAAGGACTCAGAAATTACTACTCCTTGACAGATAGAAATGCAAATGTAAATATAAACTTAGGTAGATAAATAGAAAGATTTGATTGGCTTGACTGTAATTTTGATAAAGGATACCTGGGGAAATGTTTTTGATTTCCTTTGATCTTTTTCAGAAGGCAATACTGATTGTTACTTGGATGGAAAAGGCCAGCAGTGTAAAGGATCATAAAATAGAATCATAGAATCGTTTAGGTTGGAAAAGACCTTTAAGATCATCAAATCCAACCGTTAACCTAACCCTGCCATCCCACCACTAAACCATGGCCCTAAGCACCTCGTCTGCTTGGCTTTTAAATACCTCCAGGGATGGGGACTCGACCACTTCCCTGGGCAGCCCGTTCCAGTGCTTGACAACCCTTTCGGTGAAGAAATTTTTCCTGATGTCCAATCTAAACCTGCCCTGGCACAACTTGAGGCCATTTCCCCTCACCCTATTGCCCATTACCTGGGATGCATCCTCCTATCACCCAAAGTGATAAGCAGTTGATCACAGGTCGAGTTACTGACATGTGTAGAGTTATCACTGTATTTAAGAGGAAACCTTAATGCAGTTTCAGAACACAGATAAGCATCGCCATCCCTATTCTACACTATAAGAAATAAGGTACCAAAGTGGTGAAAGTAGCCTCTGTTAGTACGCTCTTGTTTTAAAGATCAGGGTTCGGGCAACAGAAGTGCTGAGTATTGAGAGGAGGACACTGAGAGCGTGTCTTCATTGCTAGGAAGGAACAACTCTGAACTGAAAAAGCACAAAAAAAAAGGGCAATTATGCCTTGGGATACCAAGGGGACTATGTAGGGAGCAAAGGAGATGCAGGGCCAAGTGTTCCACAGTGGGGCTATGGCCAGGCTGCTCTAGAGACAGCTTGCCACAAGCAGTGAGGATGCCAGCCCCCCCTACCCCGCATGGCTATGGGAACAGGCATTGCATCCCACAGCCCGGGCATTTAAGCGACATGGAAGTAATCTCAGAGTCACCTCTGCACTTTCAGAATTACTTCGGGTTCTGCGTCTCTGAAAGTGAACACTCAAAATGGAAAACTAAGGCCAAAGCAGCTTACAAAACCCACACCAGACAGAAGCACTGATGTTGATGTCTGCGTTACAGGTCCGTGCACCCTTCTGCGGCACCCGCCCCTTCTCTATTTCCCACAGAGCATTACGATTTGGAAGCACGTGGGAATTTGCACTTGCAAAGCAAGGAGAGGAGAAATCACCTGCTGGGGCACTGCGGAGGGCTAGGAAGGGCCTCATCCAGATGGTAGGTTCCTTCCTGAAAATGGGCAAAGCTATTCTTAGTTTTCCATTTATCTCTTCCTTCTGAATGTGGCTGGCAGTTGCACTGCCCTTTTGCCTTCCGTGGACTTCAGCCTGTTGCATGCACACTTGGCTGCTCATAACACAGCCCAAATTAGGAATAAAATCTTTGGCTTTAGAAAAAAAGGCTATAATGAAAACCCAGAGAAAATTTCAGAGTTGTTCCGTTTTTCAACTCTGCAAAACAGAACATGCAACAAAGAATTTAGCTTTTGTTTAATTTGTTAATTGCACGTGATCTCCTTTTCATGCGGTACGTTCAGCCACTATGAGCTTTCTGGTAGGTTGGGCACACTGATATCTACCTCTACTCCCCCCAAAAGAGACAATTATTTGTAAAATAGCATACTTGCAGATCTTAAACACGGCCAAAATACAATAGCTCCATTAAGATGGGTAAGTATTCACGTATCATACATATTCACAATAAGAAAAAAAAAACCCAACAACCAAGTAGAGCTGGCAAAAAATGTTTGGTGAATGTTAAATTGGATAAAAATGCAGCTTTTGGTGTCCTCTCATTAGTGTACGTATGGCTGCTTTCAGGTGGGGAGAATCCAGAAAAGAAGGAATGGGAAGACAGGACAGAGAAAAGACGACTTTGTGTTGGTGGCAAGACACTGCTGTTTCAGCTCAGCTGCACCTGAAACCCTAGGTGAGCACACGACAGCACGCCTCCAGCAAGCGCGGCTCCACCCCCCGCCTCCAGCGGAGGGGATGCGAATCAGCCATCTCCCCGGCCCAGGAGAGGGCTCTTGGGCTATGCGGGCACCGTTGTCTTTCACGAATAAATGAAACGGTGAATGGAGGATGGGCTGAGACCGCTCCGCCACCGCAAGCCCTTCAGCGTTTTCAGTTAAAAGACGACGGCTACGCCCCAAGTACTTCATCCATGAGCTCACCCAGGAGCGAGCGATGCTGCTGCCATTCGAAGACACTCAGCAGAGAAATGCTCCTGGTGCCAAGTTCACCCATCCAAAGGATACGGAGCCATAGCCTGGAAAAGTAGGGTTGATACCGACTGGGTGTCAGACTCCTGTCAGAGCTGCGTCTTTGTCGCTACTGAGGTGAAGGGTTTCACTTTGGCAACAGGATCATTCCTTTAGGAATGATGCTAATTACAGAACACATTCCTTGAGATGCAGGAAAAAATAGGCTGGTTTTACCCGATTATTTAATAGTGGGGATGAATCATTTTCATACTGCTTTACACCACTGCCTTAAAGGAAAAATATGCTTTTGACACCACAGCGTGGACTTGGACTAGATGATCCTTGAGGTCCCTTCCAACCTAGGATTCTATGACTTCTCTCTCCTTTACCCTCTTGACAGAAAGCCTATAGGGTTCATGACAGGAAGCCTATAGGGTTTGCCTAACAACAAAGAGTGTATTTCACTGCTTGCAAAAGAGGCACAAGAAAAAAACACACGTGAATTTGTCAAGTGTATGCACCAACAAGAGGAAGCCCCCCAATAATTATACTCAGTCAAAGTTTGAATGTCCTTAAGCTTCCCCAGGCCTTTCTCATTAAGAGGTGAACATTGTACCCACTTGTCCCAAAATACGGAAACTTCTGCTTGTGGTTGTAGCAGTAGCTGCAGTTGCAGACCCCTCTGTCAGCAGTTTATAGACAAAAAAGCCCATTTTAGAGGTGTGCCATCCTTACCTAATTCTACCCAGCACACTGTATGCAATTCAAAGGTCAGAAAACACGTTCTGTTGAATATTTTTTTTAAAAAAAGTTCTCATGGCTGTAAAACATTACACTTCTTCCCTTTAGGAAGGGTTGTCCCTTTGCGCGTGCCAGATGCTGGTTGGCATCACCCGAGGGAAGCTACTGGTGCTGATGCTTGAAAGGAAAGGAGCTTGCTGTGGCTCGAGTACCAGCATCAGCAGTTTCGCTGTTACAGGAGGAGGAAGACAGACTCCTGTGATACCAAAGCAGCCAGCGGTTGGTGAAACCACTGGGGAGGGGTGCTGGCTGTGAGAGTACAGAGGACAACTTGCTCATTTTGTTTTAAACTTTCAGAGGAGAATTAAGGACAGTTGCACTCATACCTCTGAGGGTCTCTGCAAAGACGACTGAGCATGCTGCCTCTCCTGCAGAGCTCAGAGCCTAGGACCGAGCAAGACTTTCCCTGCAATTACACCTCTCGTTGCCAGTACAAGTGAACGACACAAACTGCAGGGAGCTTGGTCGCAGGTACATGTAGCGGATGCAGCGCTGCAGCTAAACACAGTGAGCTTCTCAAAAGCTTAAAGGTGGCACAGATGAGCAAACCAGACATTTATTATAACTGCTCAGCAATTAATGATCCTTGCCCTCTTCTGACTGGTGGAATAGTAATGCAAGAATCTAATAAATTAATCAGAAAACAAAAAATCCCACCGGCCTTTGCAAGGCTTCCAAAGCAGAAAGCTGACAAAAACCATACAGACATCTCACATGACGGACTTCAGTCCTTTATGTTGACAGTCCATTTATTCCTTTTTCCATTGCCACAACATTTACACACGTACAGCTTACTCAGCAGCAAATCTCTCAGGTGCATTGAATGAGCAGATGCCTGCAGGTTTGCTCTTCTTGGCATGACATACATGATAAATTACATTTAAATTTAGAATTGGCAAGCACAAATCCTATGGCTCAGTTTCAAACACTCTAGGATGTAAAACCAAACAACTTGGCACCAAGTTTTAAAAATACATACAGCATCTCTAGGAACTATTACTGTATGCACTGAACAACTTGAAGACATCCGTACCATTTACCATTATAAATTGATCAGCCTAGGTGTTACCCCTGGACCAGCTCACCTAAAAATCGAGACAAGAGCGCCCTGTAAAGTGGAGCTTTGGACAGCAGCAAATTATAAAAATATATAAGGAACCCATAATTTGAAAGCAGTTTATCTGCATTTATTTTTATGATTGTTCAAGTGTGAAGGTGTTACTCCACGTTATTATACATGGGAACGTAAAATGTTTATGTGGTTTCAAATGGGTAGAAGAGTAGGAAGAACAAAAGAAAAAGTGTGCTATGCCGAATAAGCTGGCTGATAGGGAGCAACTCCTGTCTTGCAAATATTTGGCCTGGTCTTCCTCTGTTGGAATGTGTCTTCCATGAAGGATCCTCAGAGGAACAAGGCTTAAGAGTAAGTGAGTAAGTGTGTACACACAGAAACTGAATACTGTGCTAAGAACCTTCCTTCTTCCTCAGATTAACAAGGCAAAACCCTCAACCCACATGCATTTTTTTATGCTCTATTTATTCTAAAAGGTAAAAGGTTCATCAGTTTGCTTTGAGGGAGTTCTCAGCAGGAGCAAGCGTTTCACAAGCTCTAGCGCCATGAAACTATTCAGTTACATCACGTACCAATAGATTAAACTACTTCTGGTCGGTCATAGTATAGCTACATATTTTAAGTGGCAATTGCGTGAATAACAAGCATTCCACTGCTTTTGGCTGGATAAATGCACTTGATGTTTATGAGATCCAAAGCCTACAGGACAGGTATAGAAATGGCTTGTTTTGGGAGGGAAGAGTAGCTAAATCAAATGCATTAGAAAGAGTTTGATACTGTTTTACATCTCCGTTGACTTCTGTGGAACACCTAGGCTTATGTACACAAATGCCCTACTAAAAAGATGTAGCCAGAAAGTAATAATCTGTCTTAATATTACTCCCTGAAAGAGAGAGGCAGCTGGCGACTGAGGCACTGACATCTAGTGGCTGCCATGCAAGATATATCACGTAGACGTAGCGCTTCAGGTAAAAAGACCACTAATGTAAGTAAGTCACTCATAAGGCATTCGTAACTTGCCTGCTATTTTCTTAACAGAAAATTTGCTATTTTTTTCAAATCTGTCCTAGCCCTGCTTTTTAAACATCACGCACAACTGAAATTCCCTCAAGCGGAAGAATGAAGGTAATTTTTTTCTGGATGCAGCACGTACGTTTGCTCTTGTAGGCTGCATTGATGTAGATGAAAGCTGACTGCTTATATGAAACTCTAAATATTAGAGTTAAAGAGAATATTGTAAGCTTTTATACCCTCACAACTAAGAAACAAAGTAGTATGCTGTCATGCAATACTTAAATGCTCTGATGCGATCCAAATACCTATAAATTATAGACGTTAATGCACTTCTTTCACCAAAATTTTTGCATCCGTTCAGCTCTAATTAAAGAAAATATATTTATCGTAGCTGTACATACTCCTCAGCAACTCTTTGTTTTAACAAACTTTTACAGTGGCTATGACAAACTCATTTTTGATGAGGTAGCATTTAAAAGAGCCCTGGGTGAAGACATGTTGACTAGTTTCTGGTAACATTTCTTTGTGCTTAGGCAGTGGAAGACACTGTTGAGAAAGAGGAGACTGACCTCTGTACACTTCACAGTTGACAGCTTGTGAAAGGGGAGAAACAAATGACTTAACAAATTCAGATTTGGTGAAAATTTGTCCAATTCCACTAGCCTTGAGATCAATTACACTGCATTAATTTACTCTTTTTTCCCCCCCTTAAATAAATGTTACTGAATGCACAATACATCCAGAGGCATGAATGCTTATCATCATTAATGTAAAGTCCCCTTCTAGCTACTTGTCTGAAGTGGAAGCCAAATAGTTAAGTCTTTGAGTTTATTCACATTTATTTTCTGTGAGAAGTGCCAGGGATTGCACTTGTAACTATGTTGCATTTAGCTAGAATTTATGATATGTTTCAGGCTACAAATAAAACCAGAAGTTATATTCCACCAGTTCATTATTTAAAATAAATAAAACACATAATTGAGAACTAACTGAATTATGATAATCAAACATGAATTATAAAAGCATCTTTGGTTGTTTAATGTCTACTTTAAAATGATTAATACAAAAAGCAGGAGTTGCAACATAGCATAGAGCAGCAGCCCTTCCTCAGCAATGCTACCGTTACTTGTGCAAGCACTTCAAGAAGAATAATGACAAAGTTAATCTCACTGGGAGAAAACAAAAGATGGGATGGAATCAATCTCTGCATCTAGGACTTAAAAATACAAATTTAAAATCTTGGCAACAAGTAAAAAAAGCATAAGTGTTCTTTTATTTTGTTAACAATTCTATATTAGGACAGCTCCACGGAACTAACTTTTATAAAAATACAACATACTGCATAAGTTTTATTTCGGGATTTAATTTATATACCACAAATACTGCTTTTAATATAAGTACAATATAATACAGTTTTATTTATATAACTGCTGGTGTTCACTTTGGATCACGAACTGAATTGCATGCTGTGCTGTCAAAATTGTAATAAAATGGCCTCTAGTTAAACTTCTCCGAAGTATAAAATCATGCAAAATCTACATCCTATATGATACAACCAGTACAATAATTGAAGCCAATAGCCTACAAACAGCCTGGACTATCTTCTGAGTTTGTTCTTGAAGTGTCCACAAGTCAGCCATCATTTTCTTTAGGCAGGAAGGAAGAATTTCACTTTTGTCTGCAGAATGTCACCACGACCACTGAAACCAGCAACAGTGTGCACAGTTATCAGTCAACAAATCTTCGTTACCTAATGCAGTTCAGAGCGCACGTTTAGTCCATACTGGCAAGTCTGGGGTTAGGAAGTTTTACGTTTTCCTCCTGTGACTACTGGTCGTGCATATTCCACAAAATCATCTATAAGAACAGGCCATGCTCCTAAAGAGAAGACAAGCGATTCAGAAATTAATGTATCATTATTAGCAGCAAATTGGTGTAGTCTCTAAACACAAAGGGTCAGAAGCTCACTTTGCCATTTCTGGCCTGGTCTGGCTTTAATACACACGACACGATAAATACTTGAAAAAAAAAAAAAAGCACCTAATAAATTAAACATTTGAATCTCTTCTTGAACCAATAGTTCTTGGTACAAACAAAACTTATTTAAAGCATAATCCACACCACAAAGTTTATGAACATTACTTGACAGAAAAACCAGGGCACTCCTATTAGACCCATACATTACTTTGGAAACATTTCTGTACACAGTCATTCCAAAACAGGATTTGCAGGATTAGTGACAGAGCGTAATTGCTTTTAGGTTAGTAAAAAAAATGCTCATGTTGGCACTCTTGCAAGTAGAATAATGATGTATTTCCTTGCAATTAGAAGCACTTTTGTAAAAAAAAACAAAAACAAAAACAAAAACAAAAAAAACAGTTTCACTGAGACTGTTGGAGCATAACAGGTTCAAACATCGTGGTGTGACAGTATCTTAACTTCTGTTTACATATTACAGCAAACTAGTTAACCTTCTTATCATTACTGTTTTGGCAACAAGTACGACACTAGATTTGCAGCTAGACCTCTAAGGGTACAGAAATTAAGACAGAAGGTAGCAGCATGTTCTGTTGATTGCTTATAGCAGTCTTAATTCTGCTACACCAATTTTTGAAGATATTTAAGTACTGCTTACCTTCTTCATCATAGTTGGACATATCATCTGCAATCATATTTCCAAAGTCTAACAAAAGATTCCAAGTATCTTTTGGAATTGATCTTTTATGATGTTCCTGTAAAGGAGGAAAATGTACTGTTCAAACTATTTTCAAATTCCACAGTAGTACTTTCATATTGACATATACAGAAATATGAGCTTTTCTTCTTCTCAATTTTTTTAAAATAAAACTCAGAGCTTCCAAAGAAAGCTACAAAATAAATTGCAACTAAAGAAGGCAAAAAAATGTAAGTCGTCGTTGATAGTTGTTTATTTCTTCCGTTCTGCTTTTAGGGTATGTGTTCATAACTTGTTATGGAAAAGAATAAACCAAATGCACTTTATGATTCCACTTAATGGGATCCATTCCAGGTTCTGAAACTGCGCAGCCATGGGTTAGCATTCTGCCACTTCAACTTGAGCCCTTTTTTTCCTTATCCCTTTTTACTTATGCTTACCCGGTCTCTCTTTCCACCTGTTGGTTATAGTTGCACTTACACTCTTCGCACTTACTCCCAGGCTATGTTCTGGATCGGTCATCTCAGCATCTCCTTAGATATTCCCTCCTTCACCAGGATGCACTACCTGTATTTGCTCCACTTCTGTCCAGTCTCCTTTTTCCCAGTCTGTCCTATTTTCCACTACCACCTCCCTTTCTGTTTTTTTCTGCGTCCCCCCATTCACAAGCATTAGTTGCCACCCTGGCCAGTTTGAACAGCACTCCAAAAAACTTCAGCCCCAGTCAGCATTCTCACAGCTTTTAAAGTTGGCGCTCCCAACAAGAGAGAGTGTGTGGGAAAACACAACTACTAAGCAGTTGTGAGCTGTAGGATCAGGTCACCCATTCACATCTCCCTTCATCTGTTGATACTGCTATGTTACCTGAAGATAGTAGGGGTGATTAAAAGGGGATTAGATTTCAACACCTAGTTCTGGTTTGCAGCAAAAAGTTGCAACTGCATGAAAAGACTTGATCGGTGAAGGGTTGGGGCTTTTTTGTGGTTTTGGTTTTGTGTTGTGGGTGGGTTTTTTTTGTTTGCTTGTTTTTTTAAGCAGTAATACTCTGAAGTATTGAGAAGAACAAACTGCATTTCAAAAATCTGGAACTTGATAAAAATGAGGTTGACGTCCAACATAACAGCAAGCACGTCCTCTCACTCAAGCCAAATGTCCTATCTTGACTGCAAAAAATATGACAAGCAAACATACCCTGTGAAAAAGGTTCCTTAAAACAGGCAAACCACAACACCCTCTGCCCCCATCCTAAAGACTTCTAAGTTGCTTCTTTCTTAGGTTGAATTTTTTTAATCTAAACGTTTCTTCTAAAGTAATCATTCAGGTTAAATATTGGTAGCAAAGTAATATGCTTTATACCAGATCATCCAGATTTTTGCTTGAAGTAGAGATCTGCAGAACTGTCTGTTTTAACAAACTTGATCACATAGCCAAGTGGGGAAAAAATGTTAGGACTTTTCTTCGGTTACATCTATAGATCTAAATCTGGACATGTTAAGTGTATTAAGGCAGTTAAAACGTGAAATGTTTTCACAAGCTCTCTTGATGAAACTGGCACATTATTCAGTGAATAAAATAAATATACTATCCAAAAATTTAGAAAGAACTTCGGAAAATATTGCAAAAAGTATGTACTTTCTCTATTAAGCATTGCTGATTATGAGAAAATATGCATAAAGACTTCTTAATTCTCCTGAACTACAGCTAAAAAGACAAATTGAAAAAAAAAATCATAAATTATACATTATGTAGCATTATATAATTTTTTTTTCAAGTACATAGAAATGCAAATGTAGAAACATGGGTGAATGAATCAGGTCTCAAATAAGAATATTTTGCAATTTCTGAAGTTTAATTTATGCATCTTTACTCCACTGCCCACAGAACTGCACTAGTAATAGAAAACTGTCAGGATCAGTTCACAACTATTACCTAAAAAATGAGTCAAAATAATTACTCAGACAAGAACTTTTGCTTAAAAAGAAAAGTCTCTCAGGTTCAGTCAGTCATAACAGAATTGACATTTAAAAAAGACTGAGTTTATGCATTAATACCACAAAAGGCAGAGCATGGTAAAATACATGGTTGACAATAATCACAACTGTCTTGAGAATAAAGACAGGTTAAATTAATATAGGTTCAATCTACAATCATGGCTTCATTTCATGCAGAAGCTTTCATAAGTAGGAGGACGCAGGATCAAGGAAGCAGAATGCTCTATTGCTTTGCTACATCTTTTTGCATTCTTATCAATTAGAAAATTAGGTAGAGAAGATTTAATTTGGCTTGGTTTAAGACTGTTTTGTATCAGTTTTCGAAAAGGAGAAAGTTCAAAGGAAGAACTCAGACATCCTGTCATTTTCTTTATTGTAAGCACACAGCCTACAAACCAGACTATTGTGGACTAAGATAGTCAGGAAGGAATACAGTACATACTTACCAACAAAAATTTATTCCAGAGATCTAGAAATTTAAACCTTCCCGACAAGACTAAATTCCAATATGCAATTGCCATTTCTAGATCTGCAAGAGACAAATCAACATGTAAATATTACAGCACATTATATACAATAAAGCTCTTATGGTTAAACAATTAATGCTACATCCAGTATATTACTATACAAATGAATAAGATTCTTTTAAAACCACTACAAAAATTATAAGGAACTGTTTTCTACTCTCACTGACCCAAAAGATGGAAGACAAGCAGTAATGATATAAATTGCATATTGAACATAGCAGTCACAAAGACTAGTATCTTTTTGTCACCATCAAACAGTGCTGGATTAAAGCTACTTTCAATCTACAGAAACAGAATAAAATAGTTACCAATAACTCTGTCAAAAAAAAATACACACAAACACAGCAAATATTGACAGAAAGCCAAACATTTAAGTCTGCAGGTGCCAATTCCTGTTAATTCATCACATTTTAGACACACTTGACTTCAAAGGGAATTTCAGGACACGAGAGGGGCATGATAATTCTACAGCACCCCTTACAGCAATAATTCTCTTCTTCTGGAATCATTTAGCAGACAAACACCTGCGCCCAATACTGAAAAGTCCAAGAAAGCAGCCCTTATTCTACACCACGACCATCTGAGAGCAGAGCTCAGTCCATGCGTGCCAACAGGAGGATGCAGCACTGCCACACATTCAAGTGGAAAAGTAGGAGCAGTATTAGATGCAGCATAAGGGTAGAAAGGATGTTTTCTTGAAGGCCTGTTTTCATTCTCAGCAAGTCACAATACCTAATGGTTTCTGTGCTTGGCCCCACAGGTAACAGCACTAAATGTATGCATGCTGCTGTGCAACTGCAAAATAAAGCACAGCCTTTCTTAAACTATGAAAGATTTCAGTTTGTGCTTTCAGTGTAAAGTAAGCATAAACAAAATATACTACTTAATAGAAAGTACTGTCATAGCAGATGAGATGGAAGCTTGACCTCCACCTACAGGAACGGAACACAGTATTTGAAATTGTACATATCACATTACAAACCAAAGGATACTCTGTCTCCTGAAATCTAGTTTCAAGTTGGAAAGAGATGTTCCAGGTTTTAACTTGGCCAGTTCCCTAGAGTCTGTATCATGGAGGGCTGGCGCCCAGACAAAGTGCAATAGTTAAGATGTAGAGAAATGCAGTATGTTCGTACCTAGCTATAAAGAGACAGGGCTGCCGGTGTTTGTTCTACTATGGTGGGTGTGCTTTTCCACACGGAACCTGCTTTATGCTCTAATAAATGTCTTTCAGTCCTTTCTGTCTTTGCCACCATGCTCACTTTTCACAGAAAATAAGCAGAATAGAATAGTTAATAGAATTTACTTGCTGTTTAGATATGCAGATTAATTATTCATATCTGTTTTGCCAAATGAAAAAGAAATGGGGAGAGAGAAACTTCAATAACCTTAAGGGTTTCTAAACTTCACGGTGAAGTGACTGGCTTTGATCCCATTCACTCAGGCTTCATTATGAAGACTCAACCTTTCCAAGCCAACTTCGCAAATCTATCACGTGACAACATTAAGCAAAATGCACTTTGAAGAAAAAACACTTTAATAGCAGAAGAGTTTTTATACTTCTGATGAAATATTCCCTGGAAAAAGGAAGCAGCTACAGGCAAGGAAACAAGGATGGTTAAAGGTGCCACAAAAAAGTTAAAAGGGAAAGAAGAGGCCACACTTCCTTGGTTTATTTGGGTATGTGTCAAATTTAGTATTATATTAAGGTAAGCTTGATTATTGCAAAATAGTATTTAATACAATGCACGTGAAATACTATCTTAATTAAGTTGATACTTGAGGGATACATTACATCAGTGTGCAAGCCAATTCCGCTGCACAAAGATATAGGAATTATTTGCTATAACATACAGCAAAAGCATATCCTGCTGAGGATGCCACTCTAATGGCTGAAACGCGTCCATGCTGCAGCTGCTCTCCCCATTAAGCACACAGAGGGAAGTCCTGATCTTGGTTAAAATTAGCTCAAAGGAAAAAAAAATAAAAAAGTAAATCTTCCTTATCTGGTTTACTGCAATCACACAAACGCAAGAGCTAACACAAGAGACATTTGAACAAAAGGACTAGATTGGACTATCACTTTTGGTAGTAGTGCCAGTTTATGTATTAAAAGTATAAAGTATTTGAGAAAACTAGGCCTTCAGGTATGCTACACCCTCAGAGGATATGGCTACATTTTTATTGGAAGACAATTCCCTACCTAGGTTGAAAAAACTTAGCACTGGAAGATAGAAAAGAGGATTTTTCTGCTTTAAAGGGAAGACCTAGTTACACAGAGCTCCTGTTCTACTGGTGATAGATACACAAACTCCACAGCATTCCTGTTTACCTGCTACAATGAGTGCAGCACTAAACAAACAAAAAAAAAAAAAAAAAGGGGAAA